TTCCACACCCCTGCGACGGGGGATGGCGGAGGAAAAGTCGAGTCTAAGGAGGGAATGATCGGTCCATGACAGAGGGTCAATAGATAGAGTCCCCTCCCCACGATCATTTATCCATTGTCCAGAGAGAAAAATAAGGTCGAGTGTGTGTCCTCCAATATGAGTTGGGCCCTGTACAATCTGAGTCAGGTCCATGGCCGTCATGGAGGTCATGAACTCCCGCACCAACTCAGATGACTCCCCGGCCGATGGCAGATTGAAATCTCCCACAACCAAAAGGTTGGGGAGTTCCACCGTCAATTCGGCTAAGACATCTAGTAGTGTGGGCAGGGCTGAGGCCACGCAGCTGGGGGAGAGGTACGTGATCAACAGCCCAGACTGAACTCCAGGGTCCCATTTCAAAAGGAGGGATTCACACCCACCAACCTGAGGAACAGTGACCTCCCTAGGCCTAAGACTTTCCTTAATAACTACCGCCACTCCTCCGCCCCTCCCCTGGAGTCGTGGCTGGTATAGTATCCGGAAACCTGGGGGACACAAATCCACGAGAGGGACACCGCCCTCCGGCCCCAGCCAGGTCTCAGTGATACAAGCCAGGTCCGCGTCCTCCTCGTCTATAAGATCTCGGACGAGGAGTGTCTTGTTCACCACGGACCTGGCATTTAAGTACATCAGTCGGAGTCCAGGGCTCTGCACTCTGTTGCCGTCGGGGGAGCAGGATGAGCTGAGGGGGCAGGAGGGCGCCACCGCTTGAACGAAGCGGCGGCGCCCTCCTAGCCCCCCCCTCTCCCGACCTCTGCGTCTCCCAACTGTCACAAGGATTGGAAGACCTCTCTCCGCTGAGCCTCTTTGTTCCCTCCTCCTCCCTCCCTCCCCCCACAACCATCCGACGGGCCCAATTGCTGAACCGTAGGAGCCGCCCCCGGCTCAACCCTTACCACCCACCTCCCGGGTCCCCTTAAAATTTGATTAAAAACATTAATTAAAAAAACCCCTCAAACCACGCTTAGAAGCATGCCACCACTCGGGGTTCCAAAACCTGTCCTTGAGGTAGGCCTTCAATAAATTCGAAGGCCATGTCTGCGAGAGGGGGGCATCTCGCAGAGCAAGGAGGGTCGCCGAAGTGTAAGCCATAATAAATATGAGAAGTGGATGGAAAATAGCAACAGGAAACCGAGATGAGAAACAAGAGGGATAATGATGGTAAAATAGGAGTCAACCCAGGCCGGCATAACCACCGCTCTCTCACAGCGGTGGAGAATCCAAGGCTGCAACGAATGAGTCCCGCGGAACCAGCCGCAGCCACCCTCTCACGGTGACTAGGTGTGGAACATCCACCGGCGGAGTCATAGGGCACTTCCTAGGAACATGATGCAGCAGCAGTCCACCAGGATTCATAGTTCATCAGTCTGTAACTCCATAACTCTGTCCAATACAACGAGACCAATAAGGCAGTAATAGGGGTGAAAAGATAAGATGTAACACTTTACGGTGTGAGAGGAGCCAGGAGTCAGATAGCAGTTCAAATAGGGGAGATGACAAAAGTCCCAACAGACAACTGAAGATGAGTAAAACAAACAGGCCGAACCAAGCAGGCAACAGTCCGGGGGGGGGGGGGGAAAAAAAAGGGGGGGGGGAGAGACCCCAGGGAAGAGCAAGAGCAAAATGAAAAAGTTAAGCATGACCAATCTGATAAAAGTAACGTTAAGCCAAAAAAAGTATGATGGGTGCTACATAACTTCTACTAAGATGTGCATTTATTTCTTACATGACCCTAAACCCAATGAAGTCTTTACTTCTGAAGGTGTACAATAATTTATTTATTGTTGTAGTGGAGAACACCTGTTGTATTTCATATACCTTATAGGTTTTTTCCTTTAAACAAAGGCAAGAAGTAGTTTGAATTAGTTATGTCAAGGCAAGCAGATTAGTTAAAAGTCCAAAGCATCTGAAATCTGATGCATCTAATTCAGTAGAGTGCCTAAATAAAAATCAGAATTCCATCCTGCCCCTCCATTTAATAGCATAAGTAGGTGCAAAGCTCTGTAGCACAGAAGAAGACCCATCTGGTTGAATTTGTCTGTTACCTTGACAACACGAGAAATTCTGACCTGGATCCATCTGTCAGAACCTGGAAGTTCCTAGGCTATATTTGCTTTTCTAATCTTTTAAATTAAACTTAATCTACCAGGATGTTCCCTGTTATTGTTGCTGCTGCTTTTATCGTTTTATGATACAAGCACCTCTGTTGAAACATCTTCTCCCCACCCCCCACCATCAAGCAGAATAGATACATGGCTGAATTTATCTGCCTCTTTCTAACTAGGGATATAATTTGCTTCATACATTTGCAAATCCTAGGTAATTTAACTTTGATCCCACACAGCAAAGCTTAGACTGCGCAGGAAGCAAAATGTGGAAAAGTCAGAATCACAAATAAATGTACAGACTTAAGGCAGGTCAAGTGATGTGCTTGAGAGGCTGTTTTGTTACCAAGAGAGGAACTAGAAAAAAATAAACGATGTCATAAATTTTTGAATATTTGCAATCAGAGTAGAGTTAATGTTAATGTATTAAGAAACAAAAGCATAAAGAGATTTTATGTATACACAGGTGGGGGAGCATGGAACTTTTAGTATTGCTTCTTTGCCAGGTGCCTGTAATTCTTACTGACTTATAAGAAGTAAGAATACAAAGACTGATAGGCAGTGAGATAATATCTTTCTCCTGTAAAAATTTTGCCTGTAAATGGAGCAAGATATTAACAAGAAGTCAAGCAAGTAATAGGGAATGGTAGCTGAGTTAAAAGAATGGACAGAATGCAGAAGGAAAACCTGGAAGACCCTATTCACATATAACATGTTTCTGTACACAGTCAGACATAGTAGTTTCCTTACTGGATTAAAATATAATATTTGATGTAATATGTGTGCTCTCACTCACACACAACATATACAACCATAAATAAAAATGTATATACAAACACACACAATTGTGAAGAGTCCAGCCTAATAACACTGGATCTGTTTTATATACCGTAGTACTTTGGTGCTGTCCTGAAGATGACTGAGGCAGAGTTCAATATTCCATGTCATTGTTATGTAGCTTGAAATCTGACTTTTAATATGAACTCTATATTGGCTGTATAGTCTGCAAAGTCATGAGTGAACTCTTCTGGAGAGCAGGCTACAGAAGTATCCATGATGGGCTGAATACAAAGATTAACCAATGCATGTTTTCCCTAGAAAAAGGAAAATCTGAAGAGTAATTTGAGGATGGAGGCACTTTTCTTAAATGTATGACGTGAGAAGGGAACTTTTCCATTTGTGTTTCATCTACGGAAAGCCTTGGAAACTTAAGAGCAACGTCGATCCCTTTACAAACCACAAAGTGTTCCCTGAATAACTCTTATGATTAAATGACATTGTATGATTAAATGGTAATTCCACAATGAGGGGAAGAAAGGGATCTATTAAAAAAAAAAAAAGCTTAGAAGAAAATGCCAAATTAGAATGAAATAAATTATTGAGAATCTATTTACAACCATAGTGTAAAACTTCCAAATAATTAGAACAAGGCATTTAGACATAATAATGAGTACAACAACTTTTGTAGGTCTCTAAATTCCCTTTGGAACTGAACAGCAAACTGTAGTCTAATGGGAGAGAGGATATAAAAGAACATTGGGCTTCAATCTTTTAAGAGCATGAATGATTATGTCATCTGTTGAGTGTCCAGGATGATCAATGAGCTTTTAGTTACAGATGGGACAGAATGCCATGAATTTTTATTTTGATAGGAGCTTGCCAAGTTTGTATCTCCTGAATGAATATATGGATCTGAATGCAGTTATCCTTTAATATCTACATTTCTCAGAGCTTTGCATTGATATGAAATGCATATATTAACTGTGCACAAAAATATGAGGAATGCGGTTTTAAAATACATGAAAAAGCATTACATTTAGGAAACCTGCTTACTAAAAATACAATATTAGACAATGTTGCATACAAAATGTATAGTTTACAGACATATCTTCTTTAAAAAGCTGGATATAGATGGAGAAGTTTGAATTGATTTATAAGAGGAAAAATTAAAAACTGAAAGAAATTAAATTGATTATCTACCCGTAAGTGAAAAATGAATAAGAGGGTAACAAAATGTTTTCAATAAGCAAACAGAAAGTCAAAGAACAAATATTATAAAACAAATTTTGCATTACAGCTAGTTAAAGATTTGTGTCAAAGCTCAATATGTTTTAAAGTTAAATTCAATGGAGTTCTCTGCCAATAAATGCACACCACTGCAGTCATGCTCCATAAATTTTAGTATGACATTTTATTGATGGCTTGTTTCTGATACCTTTGTTTTATACTGTAGCTATTAATCAAGTGTAAGAATGTGGTGTTTTTTTTAAGAAACAGCAATAAAGCTTTTTAACATATTAAAAAAAGGATACTTCTATCAGGATTCATCCATACTGAGGTGTAATTCTGAATTTCCTTGGATCTGCGGGGGTACTGATGGTGAGCTCCTGTGCTTCAGAATTGTCCATCATGCTGATTGTACATTTTCTTTTCTTTTTTTTAAGGAAAAGAAAGTGGGTTACTTTCCTACATGTTCTAGGATGCTATGACTCCATATGTCTTTAGTGATTGATATGTGTTTCTGAGCCCACAAGACCACATCAACTGTGAACCTTTGACTCTTACCATACCTGATTAGATTAGCATTGATTAATTAGAATATGTTGTGGACTCATTAGGAAGAAATCTAGAGAGATCACATCGCAAAACGTCTATATTGACGTCTTAAAATTATGTGACAACCCCACCCCAAATTCCCAGCCTGTTCTGGGAACTGCTGCCCCAACACGAGTCCAAATTGGAAAAAAACTCCTGTAACATGTATGGTTATTAACTCTAATATCCTTCTCTTAGTTAGGATGAGCTAACTCAGTAGAACTTCTCATCCTAAAATACAGCTTTTATTTGCTTTCTTAGGTATGCGCATCCTGGTCACCCTGCTTTTGGACACACTTCCTATGTTGGGGAATGTCCTCCTTCTCTGTTTCTTTGTCTTCTTCATCTTTGGTATTGTTGGAGTCCAGCTTTGGGCAGGGCTGCTTAGGAACCGCTGCTTTCTACCTGAAAACTTCAGTCTGTAAGTATGAATGAGGTAGGCTTGCACAGGTTCTTTGTATGTGCTGACGGTTTCAATAAATTAAAATAGTTCCCATATGCACCGCAGTATTCATACATAGAGAGTGTGAGTATCTTTGCCTGCTGATGTAACAGAAGTGGAAATTCTCTAGCTAAGTCATAGGAAACAACACAAATATCTAAAATCCTCAGTAACATAACACTTTTTTCAGAATGTGTCGCGTTGCCATGACTGATAGCTGCCCAGCAGCAATGATAGAAATGTCTTCTTTCGAATATGTCCATCGGCAGTCACAATACTCCAAGAAGGGAGAATCAGCTACTAAATTGGAACTCTCAGCAACCAAAGCTCTGACGGCCATTATAAATTAAGGGGGAATTTCCAACGTCTGACTAAATCAAAGAGGGAGAGCTGGAGAACAGCAATTGATGAGATTTGGCTCAATAAAGAATTTGATTCAATTCAATCTGAGATAACAGGAATGGGGCAGGAAAAAGAATCCAGTCTTATCAGGATTCGGTTCCTCATCCTTGCTGATGGAGTGAAAATAATCCCAGAGAAGTATGGAAGAAATCATTATTACTAATGCTGGCACCATATAATGAAACCAAGCTTTGAAGGAATACAGACCTCTCTCCTGATTTATGGTTGCATATATTATGTGATATCTTTTCAATGTAGCTAAAACTGTGAATACACCATAAAATGTTTAATGGATATATAGCTATGAATGCAAAATATATTTTTGTAGTATTTTTGGAGAATTCTTCATTCTGATTCAGAAAGATGTGTTGAATTCAATGCTATTTATGTGTAACCACTAATTGTGCAGTAGGGTTGTTATTGTGCTCATTATTCTTAAGACTGAATGTGAAGTACCTAACATATAGAGCAGAGGTGTCAAACTCACGGCCCGCAGGCCAGATGCGTCACATGTTGGCCACGCCCCCGCCCAGTTTAGCGGAGGGGAAAAAAGTCCCGATATGTCATGTGACGCTGCCGTGACAACGTGAGTTTGACACCCCTGATATAGAGTATCTTGTTAATATCTGAACAGTCTAAGCAAATTTCAGCATAGAAACAATAATTTGAAGCTTGTGAAAATTCTTCAAATGCCCTCTAATTTTTGGATTATCAACCCAGCTGAAACTTAATCAGAAACTTATCATAAAATAAAAAAAGTTTTAAAGAGATCTTTCTTTGGAAGTTGGACCTTCCAAACCCTTTGGGTTTGTTTGCTCTGAAGAGAAAACCATTAAGTTTCAGTAACCTAAAATCCTTTTAAATAAATTGGCAACAAACCAAAACCACGTTCTGATCAAGTCCAACCCCACCCCCCATGGAGTTACTGCTCTGAGTGAAAGATCAGGAGTCTGGCAGCACCTTTTCTGACTAATAAATTTTATCTAAAGACACAAACATTTGCAAGCTGCTGCTCAGATGCACAGAGTGATTGTGTCAGATTTCAGTTAGGATGAAACAAAGGGAAGGGAGGGGAAGAAAGTCGATTATGCAATTACAGATGAGTCAAATTACAAGTACCTAATCAATTAACCATTGTGAACATCCATTGTGTTTGGTGAGACCTTTTGAGGTTTTTCTAAAACCTTTTCCTGTATGTGAGTTCAGAAGTCTCTATCATTCTGCTAAAGTCTTGATTTTCTAAAATGGACACTTTGAGGTCTTCAGTAGAGTGTCCCAATGGATATTATCTGACTGATATTACTTTGTTCATGTTTTGAGTCCTGACATTCATTAATGGTTTGGAGAAATATCTTTTGGTTTTTCTTAATTATCTGTTTGGGGCCATAATAGACGGAACACGGCTTTCCTTGTATGTGGTCTGAGTGAAGGGTGAAAGGCTGAATGGAGGGTGAGGGATGGCTAAGTTTCAAAAGGCATTCAAACCAACAATTCAGGAATGAACCTGGCTAAACCTCTCCTAAATTTTGCTTTGCAAGCTTTTCTATGACCTGAGTGCATTAGGAAAATGAAACATGCCTTTTTCCCCCCTAAGAAAAATATGTGTGAAAGTATACTCAAGATGCATTCATTTATTATGGAATAAACTTTGGTGGATCGTAGCTTGCTTTATATTGGCCATATATTATAGCCCATCAGTTTATGTGATAAAAAAAAAACCTTGGAAGCTTAGGGAGCTGCAGAAATGGCCCTTGGTCTCCCAAGCAGTTTGGCAAATTGCAAGTTGTCCACCACTGACTTCAAGCCAGTTTATTTAGGGCTATGACTGTTTTCCACTTTTTTTTTCCCTTACTGACATACTCTAGTAATTATGCAAATAGCAAGGTAGGGTGGTTATTAGATTCTGCCTCCCTTTGAAGTGTTTTATGTTTTTCTTAATCCATAAAGAAATAACAGCAGATATATGGGACTGAAGCTGTACATGTATCCTATCTAGTATGGCATTTTACCTCAGATAACAACCAGCACAAATTATTTGAGGGAAATAGATAACTTGGAGTGATGTATTCATCTGACATCATTTTTAAGCTTCAAAATATCAATAGTTTAGAGACATTTAAAAAAAGAAAAAAAAATTGCCATTCCAGGCAATCAGAGTGCTCCCATCTACAATTAATTTCTCTGATTGCTTGCTCTGAACTCAATTATCCTATTGGCCCCTGTAACATCTCCGAGCCACTAGTTCCTTGAATTGCTCTGTTGACTGCATGAACACCACTTTTGCTCTGTTCCATTTTCATACTGTTGCTTTGTAAGAATAACAGTGTGATTTCCCACTTTCTTTTTGCACTGTGAAAAGAACATTCCATCTTTACTTCATCCCTAACTAGTGTGATTTTGGTTCTGTAACCAGCCCTGTGTCTCTTTCTTCCAGGCCTTACACATTGGAGCTGGAATCCTACTATCAGACAGAGAATGAAGATGAAAGCCCTTTTATCTGCTCCCAACCTCGAGAAAATGGGATGCGGGATTGCCGCAGTGTTCCCATACGGAGGGAGGAAGGCCTGGTGTGCACCCTGAACTATTATTCCTACAACGACACCAGCAACACCTCTTGTGTCAACTGGAACCAATATTACACAAACTGTTCTGCTGGGGAGCACAACCCTTTCAAAGGAGCTATCAATTTTGATAATATCGGATATGCATGGATTGCAATATTTCAGGTGAATCAAAAGGACTTAAACCGTGATCTCGTGCTGTTGCAGCAACTGGGAAAATGAAGTTTGTGTTTATTTTTGTTCCAGAAGTACATTTGTTTTTCAAATCTGAACCAAATAATTAAATTGTTGAGAATCTGCAAGTCCTGTTTTTCCTGTAATAAATATAGGTTCTGTGGGCACCAAATGTGCACGTGTTTTTTTTTTATATTATTATTATTCTCCATTGAATTATGTCAATTTACAGTATTGTGTGTGTGTGTGTGTTTTTTTAATGCAAAGATTGAATAGGGCAATTGGGAGCCCTAGAATCAGTCGGTGCATCCCTTGGTCTTGTTTAAGGTGGTCCTTTACAAGTTACCTGTTTAAACCCCTGGTACGAATTTTCTGACTCTTCCCCATAACTTGTACTTTGGAGAAGACCGAAAAGAACTAAGGAAAAAAATGTGAAAGAATATGAAAGAAAAGGATGATAGATATCGCGTCTACCTTAAGCCTTGGCCCATCCTACTACTTGATTTAGGCTTGTCTACCAAGTAGCATCAACCAATTTCTCTGAGAGAATGTGACTCTCAATATGGACAAATTATCTTGTAGGTGACTTAAAAGTTTCATAGCTATTTTGTTAGATGTCTATAGTTCCTTGCCCTTCTCAGCCCTACATTCATCAAGATGAGCTAACCAATGGCTTCCTTTTCTTTTGCCTTATCACAGGTCATCACCCTGGAGGGCTGGGTAGATATCATGTACTTCGTCATGGATGCTCATTCCTTCTACAACTTCATCTATTTCATTCTCCTGATCATTGTGAGTTTTGTCTCCAGTTGTGTCAATCAGAAGCATTAAACCTAGATTTCCACTGAGGAAAAGCGATTGGGGTGCATGGAAGGACTGATAAGATAGAATTTATTATTAGAGCCTTCCAAAACATGATAGCCGGGTAAAAAAGAAAACCAGATCCCATGTGCTTCTTGCATTTGCAAGGTGGCATTGAAATCACTTAGAAAAACATCTAGTCAGTGATACTGGTTTCCTCACTATTTACTACTCATGCTTTCTGTTCTGCATTTTTATTTCAATAAGCAAATGTTGAAAAAAGAAAACTAACTTTAAAAGTTAGCATATAACTGGCATTAGATGATGCTTGAATTTGATCTATGGTGACAAAGACAAATGCAAATAATTTGATCTTATATTGACTTTTATGTTAAAGAAACCTGCTGACCATGATATTTTTGTTCTTGTTTTGGTAGCCTCAAATAACCTCTACACTTTTCTTATAATATACATAACAGATTTAATAACAGCTGTCTCTTTCTGCCTTATCCCAATATTTGTCAAGATTATACAAAGCTTGTATGTCAGGGGAAAAATGGGGAACAAAGTTATGGCAAATAGTATTCAGACAGGTAAGATATAGGAGCAAGTTTTAAAAACAAAAACATCAGATATATATAAATATATAATAATATATATATATATATATATAAAATTTGATTTATATGCCGCTCTTCTCCCTAGACTCAGGGTGGCTTACAATGCGTTAAGCAATAGCCTTCATACTTTTGTATATTTTATACAAAGTCAGCTTATTGCCCCCACAAACTGGGTCCTCATTTAACCTACCTTAGAAAGGATGGAAGGCTGAGTCAACCTTGAGCCTGGTAAGATTCGAACCTGCAGTAATTGCAGGCAGCTGTGTTAATAACAGGGTGTTTTAGACCACTGTACTACCAAGGCCCTTGGTATCAGGCTACCCGTGTAGGTTAATATTCACATTAACCTACACGGGTAGTAATTATATAGGATCTGTTTAGAATTGTGGTTTTTTAATCCAACAATAATCAGTATCATTCTTACTCTGGGCCACTGCAAATGTAGACAAGGTACAGATTGTTAGATCATCTGGTTGTCTAAGACATGGACATAGATTAGAATCTATAGCTGAAGCTGTGGGGCCACAGGTGATCTCTTTCAGCATTTGGAAAACACCAACAATTGTTACTGAGGGTAAAATTATTAAATGCATGATTGCATATAAATTGAATGAAATCACATTTAATCCTGCCCCACCAATTTGCAGTAATACTTCAGCAAAGATGCAGATGATGTGTAAACGATGGTGGGTAAAATACAAACTGTAAATAAAACAAAAAAATTAATAATTTCTAAAATGCTGGCTTGAGGACTTTGAGATAATTATTTACAGAGCATTAGAGAACATTGCAACAATTTGTACATTTTAATGAGGAAGAATAAATGTGAAACAGGTGTCAGGAATGTAGACACTGTTTCAGGTCATTAAGGCCACTTTTCAGAAAGCAGAGTTCAAATAAATCCTCCTAGGGAAGGACTAGATGTACAGGACTAGAGGTAATACTAGACTAAACTTGGGGAATCACAGGTTTAACTCTTTCATGGCTATGTTAAATTTAGAGTGAGTGTAATGAGCCACAAGAGTAGGCAGAATCTGTAACACATAGCATTAAGCAAACCAAAATCCTAAAGCCGAAAAAATCCTAAGTTTTTTCAGGATCTGGATCATATTTACCTATTATTTATAAGAAGTATATTCTCCAAGAACCTTTAATCCTATTCTACAAATAAGACATGTAGACATAAGCAAATAAAAGGAGAAGCAAATAGGATAAACCTGTATTTCGGAAAGCTCAAAAATAAAGAAGACTCTGGCCAGAGACCAAAAGACAGTAATGTTTTTGTATCAGGTGAAACATGATGTAGAGCAGGGATGTCAAACTCACGTCGTCACGGCAGCATCACATGACGTATCGGGACTTTTTTTCACTAAACTGGGCGTGGGTGTGGCCAGCGCGTGACGTATCCAGCCCGTGGGCCAGGAATTTGACAGCCCTGATGTAGAGTGTACCATAACTATAGCTCTACCACTGAGACAAGGTTTTTTGTTTTGTGTGTTGTTTTGTTTTGCTTTTGTGGCCATCTTCTGGTTCTCATCTGGCAAAAGCTCCATTGGAGGCCTTCAGCTGAAGCTTTTAAGATATAAGCTGTTACATATGGAGATAAATGTTATTTCATGCTTCTAGGTCTTAAATCATGAATGCTATAAGGCCAAAGGCAGTACCTGGAATCTAAACATAGAAATGGACTGGAGGCCAGGAGCAGTTGGTCTAAGACAGATATCATCATGTCCTGGTTGAGTTAAAAATGTAGAATTTAGATTCTGCACTAACTTCAGTTTCAATACCTTCAATATACTTCAAAGATATAGCGCATTACAGTCATTTTACCTAGGGTTTACTAGAGTATGAATAAAAGAAGCTGGTCATATATATGGTAGAGTACCCAACTTTGCAGCTGGCAGGCCTTTGATAGCCGATTGAATTAAAAGTGATTTTTTTTCCCCAAATACAAATCTTCCAAAGTTCTCTTTAACAAACTTGATTAAGATGAAAGCAGGAGTGTTCCAAACATTTCAGAAAACTGAATTCTTGAGTTAGGAACCAACGTGTAGTATTTATGTCTGCATGAAGGTGGAAATATTCTGAATCTTTTTCTCATAGCATCATAATATACCAGGGAAGAGGTGAGTCCCTTCTCTGATAAAAGGGAAGTCTGCAGTTGTGAATGAGGTACACAATGGTTACTTGAATCCTTTTGAACCCCAAACCCATTTTTATACCAATACTGCCTGGCTATGCAGTCCTAGAAAAAGGCTAGGCTCTTGTTCCTTTTTTGCCACCAAAAAGTTTCTGCTTGCCAGTGTGTTTCACATACCACTCAGTTATGTCCATGAGGGGTCCTTGGTGCTCTCTGAGATTGGTTGTTTTCTTGCAGATGTTTCATTACCCAAACTAAGTAATATCATCAGTGCACTCATATTAACCCTGAGCTACAAATGTTCTCCTTTATTAATTATGTCCATTTACATTGCCTGAGTTTACAAATATATGTACTCATGCTATAATCACAACAAGGATATTGTACCAATAAATTACATCTGCAGTGGGAAATGTTTTTTTGGAACATGAGATTTTAACAAAAAAATGCTGGCAAAAAGAACAAGAGCTACAGCTTCCATGGAATAGGAATCTCCTAGTTAAGTAGACTAACCAGGGCTTCCATGCAGGGCCAAGAAGTAGCAAATAGCAAAATTAGCATCATGATGTAAGCTGTGTTCCTTTTTTTAATCACGCATAGTGGCAATTATTATTTTTTCCATTCTGTCAAAACTGGTGGATTCTGTAGATGCTTCTGAAAAGCCTCCAAAAAGGAGGAGAAAGATGCCTCCTCCCCCCACCCCAGTGGAACACCTCTGAGGTTATCCAGAAAGAAGGCCACAGAATGGTAAATGACTCAGCAATTTCTGCCTTCTCAGATGGCCTGAGTAAATACTCAATTTGTAGAGTTAAGGTAGCCAAGAGAAAAGAACCAGTTGTAGGCTGCTTTTTGAGATCTTCAGACTGAATAGCCATCAGGAGCTACACAAAATGCAGCTTAATGAAGAGCCTGTTTTGGAGTAAAATTCAGACTCTTCAACTGCAGGCAGCTGCTGCCTGTTGAGTGCCAGCTAACAAAGGAAAAGATTTCTTCTGAAAACAGCCAGAGACCCCATAAGGGAAGTATCTGCCTTGAAAACACTTCAAGTGATTCGTTTAGGGGAGGAAAAAAAACCTACTTAATTGTGATAATTACAAATACAGACTACCAAGAAATCTTTTCAAGTCAAGACAATCTTTATTGAGCTGCATTGTCACTGGTGGAACAAGGAAGTGGGGGGGGGGGCGGGGCTGAGATGAGGAAGCCTGAATGTTCTTGATATGAAAGAAAGGAAGAGAAGAAGGGCAGGGAGTATCATTGGGGTGCCTCTCCGATAGACAATGATGGCTGTCATCTTGGAGTGAGTTTGCAGGGTTTTTTTTCAAGCTGGTTAAAGTCAGTCGCTTCTATATGGTGATTTTTAGCCATGGATGTGCTCCCCCACGTGACTCCGGAGCTTGAGAAGTTTATGACAAAGTCAGAATGTATAAAGCCGAGAAGATTGAGGCATCATTACAGCAGTTATTGTAGTCCAGGGGGAAGATTGCTAATTACTGAGTCTCCTCCGCTTGCTGTGTCCCCTTCTTGTCACTGCCAGTTCATCTGTAAATTCTATGTGGGAGGTCATTAGGAAAGAAATTGAAAATGACATTAATCCCTGTATTGTTATTGCCCAGCCGCAGTTGGACTACTCTGCCTAGTTCTATTCCCTGTGTCTCAGAAAGAAGCAGGAAGAGCTAGAGGAGTTGCAGATAAGGGCAATCAAAATTATCAAGGGGTTGCAGCTAATTCTTTTATGTGAATGGGTTACATCAAGTGGGGGGAAGGATAAGCATATTAAAAAGGCAAATAGATAGAGACTCGTATGAAATATGGAGAGTGTAAGATTAGCGGTCAGGTAATTTTTGTCACACCTTCAAAATATAAGAACCGATGGTCATTCAGTTAAATTAAATGGGGAAAGATTTAGGAGGACATCATCATGCACCACATGGCTAAACTATAGAACTTGCTCTCAGAGGAAGGAATGTAGCCAGTGGTGGGATTCAGCCAGTTCGCACCACTTCGGGAGAACCGGTTGTTAACTTTCTGAGCAGTTTGACAAACTGGTTGTTGGAAGAAATCATTAGGACAGAGAACCAGTTGTTAAATTAGTTGAATCCCACCACTGAGTGTAACGGTATGGTGTCTCTCAATATTACTGGTTGAAAACAGCTGAGAAAGTGCTGCATGCTCAGGAATCGGCAATTTGACATCCTTCAGGACATTTGGATTTCAGTTCTCTTTACCAGGCGTAACAGTCTGTGGAAATGATAGCCTCAAACATCTGGAAATCACCAAATTGCCTACTAATGAAATAGTCCAGTGGTTCCCAACCTTTCTGACTTTGTAGACCGGTGGCAGCAGCGGCAGTGGAGAGGAGATGGTTCTGGGGGGGTGGGGGGGGCACCTCTATTTGTGCAAGCGGCTCACATAAAGGGAGCTTCGCACCCAAGCATGAGTGCCCACTGTTCGTGCAAGTGGAGGCTGTGCTGGTGAGCATGCTTGCCTGCTGCTTGCGTGGTCTGGTTCTGAATGGGCCAAGGATTTGGGGAACCCTGAAATGGCCTAATCCAGGAGGTCCCTTATACTACATTCTTGAAGTTTAGGAGAAAATCTGTCTAGCTTGATGTGGCAAAATGAAGGAATTACAGCCAGAGCCATAGAACTATGTAGACATAAACCAGCGCAATTATTTTTGATCAAAGGCTCCTCTGCTGTCATAACAGTAAAATATCTGTACTATGATATATTTAAGGAACAAAGTGCCTTTGCCATATGCCTTTTACAGCTTCTTGTTTTCTATCACATTGCCTAAGCGTTTAAAATTCTATAAAAACCCAAGGAACTTTTTCATACCCAGCACATTTGTCCTTATCCTGCTATAACCATCTCTTCTTCGTGCAATATTTTATTCTTTTAACATCTCCTTAAATTGTAAAGGTAATTTGTCATGCGGCTCAGAAGAACTGCTGCTTAAGAAATATGAGCCAAAACAATGCTTGCTTGGAGGCATGCAAAACTATTCACTTCTTTGGTTTCCAGACAGTTTTCGATAATATAACTTATAGGATGTGTTTAGACTTCAAAATTGGCATTTGTTTTATATAGGTTGGGGGTTCTGGAAGCAGAATATACATAATCTGTCTTTATGCTTGCTGCAGTCTATGGGAGCTTTTATCAACCCTAATTGCAGGATAAGTTTAGAGGGGTGATTCATAGCCTCATAGATACTCCTACGAAGTGTTTCATTTCCCCTCTTCCAGTGTGTAAAGCTGTTGAAAATAGACAATATTGGTCAGGTATCTCCATGCATTTCCGAAAATTTGCCCAAGAAAACTGCAGGGACTGGTCCAAACAGTTACCAGGGTCAAGGCTGACTTGAAGGCTTTCCCAGGTCCTTGAGAAGAACTCAACAGGTGGACAGAAATGCCAAATCTAGTCTTAACATCTGACTGACAGGGCAACCATTCATAATAATATGAAAGCATGTATGGGTATAGGGATTTAGCATTGTGCATCATTAGAAAGAGTGTGCAACACAGACATATACCCTGCTGCCAGATTTTCCCAGGGAAATGAAACACCTACGATGGAAAAAAGGCTGCTATTCCTTTTTTAATAGATCTACTTATTTATTGCCACTCCATAAAGTAGATTCTGGTGAACTCAGTGGGACATGCTGGTCATGATGCAAACTTGCATTCATTTTACTAGCCCTACTGAATTCAAGAGGAAGTCTCAAATAAATGGGTAGAATTGCACCATTCGTTTGGAGTTTCTCCACATTTTTATCTCCATAAAGTGATATCAGGTGATCTCCCATCCTAATCCTAACCAGACCCAGGACAGCTTAGTAGCTTCAGTGTTTGTTGCATGATAAACCTTCAAACCTTTGTTCCTTGGATGAGATATTAAGGTGTTAGTGCAAGGTTCTTTCCCCTCCTTGAGTTTTAAAATAATATGATGTTGGTTTTGAGTCCACAGTTGTTGTTTTTTTTTGGGGGGGGGAATGGTTTTTTTTTTCTCCATCTCTACATACTCTTCAGTTAGGCTTCTCCATATAAATAGGGCTAATCACAAACTACTTCTCTTTTAGGTGGGCTCTTTCTTCATGATAAATCTCTGCCTTGTGGTCATAGCAACCCAGTTCTCAGAGACCAAACAGCGAGAGAGCCAGCTAATGAAGGAGCAGCGAATCCGCTACCTCTCTAATGCAAGCACGTTGGCTAGCTTTTCGGAGCCAGGAAGCTGTTACGATGAACTTCTCAAATACCTTGTTTATGTCCTTCGGAAAGCCGGCAAGCAAGTGATGGAAACTTGTCAGACCACAGGGGTAAAGATGGGCTTCCTCTCCAGCCCAAGCAGTAAGAACAGCACAGAGAGACAACCGTGCAAACATCGTCCACGGAAAAGGTCATCAGTGCATCACCTCATTCACCATCACCATCACCACCATCATCACTATCACCTAGGCAATGGAAGCCTGCGAGCCCCACGAGCCAGTCCAGAAATTAGTGACGTGGAGACCAGCTCCGTTCACAATGGTGCCAATCGGTTGATGCTTCCTTCAGTAGTCAATCCTTCTCACATGGCGCCTGGCAACACGGAATCTGTTCACAGTATCTACCATGCGGACTGCCATTTTGAGCCAATTCATTGCCAATCATCTCTCTCTCAGATTGGTCTCAGTTTGCCGGGACCTGAGGTGCTTCCCAGTACAGTGGTTGGCAGCAAGGTTTACCCAACAGTACACCCAAGTAGCTCCCACGAGCTCCTCAAAGATAAAGGTTTGCCAGAGTCCGCATTGAACCCTGGGGCTAGCACGCTAATGAATCTTAACATCCCTCCAGGGCCTTATAGTCCGATGCAGAAGATATTGGAAACACAGAGCACTGGTAAGTATTAAGCTTGGCTGTCGACCATTCAGTCAGGTTTGAATGGGAGGCAGAGTAGTAATCTTTCTGTTCCTCTTTTCTCTATTTTGTCCTTAGCATTTCCACCAAGCTACATCTCAGGGACAACAGGTGTGTTTTGCTTGTGGAGTCCCAGAAAAAGGTTGCAAAAATTCCTGCCTGCCATTTTGTAAAGCTATTGCCAATCAGTGTTTGCAGCATGGAATCTGATGGGCAGCATTTTGAAACAAGGGTCTAATCTAATGACTGAATTCACACTTTACATTACTGTACCCCGTGGTGTTTTACTCAGGTTTATGGGAGCCACTTTGGCTGTAATATTTGAAACAAGTGAGAAATCAACACAAAAAGCATTAAAGATATATATACTTCCATCTTGCCCAGGCCATGAAGAACCATTCTTCTGAGAATTTAGGTTCTCTGAGGATTTGTATAAAAGCTGAAAAGGAGTGTGTATGTGTGTGTGAGAGAGAGAGAGAGGGAGGGAGAGGGAGGGAGGGAGGGATGAAGGAAGGGGGGAGAGAGAGAGAGAGAGAGAGAGAGAAACTTGTATAGCATAAATATACAAGGTGTTATTGTTGGATAGCAATATGTTTGCCACCTTTTTTCCTTCTTGCATTCGTATCCTTTCAAAACAATTGAAATACATGCCAGTGACTGATCTTTTTGGAGGCTGTGGGCTTCTTTCTGTGCAGGGTTGACTTGGGGGTCACACTGATTCAGTCCTGTGGAATATCAGGGATGATTCTAAGCAAACAGGCACAGATCCAGCCAGCATCTTCTGTAATTTGTAAGAGGCTCCTGTCTGGAAATGGGGAGTTTCAGTCATCATCCAAACTTCTGCAAATATTTATTCAGAAGCATGAATGTTCCCCTGTAACAACACCATTAATGTAATGTAAGGATGGCCTCTGGAGAGTCCACATTTCACTTTCCAAGATTTTTCTGTGTGTTTTCAGTTTTTTTTTTTTTTAATCTCTCTAAGCATGAGAGACTTTCTGGGAATGAGGCAGGGCCAGCTCGCCAAAATCTAACAATTTGTCTCCAAGAGAAGGTCAGGCTAGGTGATCCAAGGTTTCCTGCTGACTTTAAAATGAGATAAGAGTTAAAGCTGGATTCAGAATGGGTTTTGAGGACAAACTCCTCACTTCACTGTAGCCAACTTTATTAGGGACTCTTCTTCTTCTTGCATTGGGAAGCCCATCGTCAGCCGGGATTGATTTCAAAATGGTGAGTTGGAAGAGAAGTTGAAATATCAGCAAGCAGCAGGAATATATGAGCTATGGTAGTATCTCTGCAGCTCCTAATACAGATAGTCCTCAATTTATGACCTCAGTTGAGCCCAACATTAAGGGAGACATTTGTTAAGTGAGCTTTGCGCCATTTCTTGTCACAGTTGTTAAATGAATCACCACAGTTGTTGAATTAGTAACGAAGTTGTTAAGTGAATCTGACTTCCCCATTGAATTTGCTCATCAGAAGGTCACAAAAGGTGATTACATGACCATGGGATATTGCAACCGTCATAAACATGAACCGGGGGCCAAGCATCTGAATTTTCATGGCATGACCATGGGGATGTTGCAACTGTTGTAAGTCTGAAAAACGGTCATAACTCACTTTTTTCAGTGCTGTTCTAACTTTGAACTGTCATTAAATGTCAGTTCAGTGTATGCCGTAAGTCAAGGACTACCTGTATTACATGTGCCATAGACTTGATTGCTCTCTGTTTCACCTTAATGGCCAAATGGGTAATGAAGCAGCTGCAAATGCTTGCCCTTGGACAGCATTCACTGGTGAGTTGTAAGGTGTGTGTGTTTGTGTATGTGTGTGTTTGTATGCACATGTGTTTGGCTCAGCCTTGGATTTGTAAATCTGAATAGATTTCCACAATTCAAGGTAGGGAACTAAGCAACCATCAAGCACTTTCCCCCCTGAAAAAAGTAGTTGCTGATATTAAATAAAGAAAAAGAAAAACTGTCATTATCTGAGTAACCTCTGGAAGAATTGTTATTTTCTTTAGCCTGGGATGAAAGAGATGGAGTTAAATAGTTATCGATGGTCATTTCCCCAAATAAATATTTTGGGTGTGCCCCGCACCCCACCCCCTAATTTGTTACGGCAAAGGTAACCTTTAATTGGTATAGCACAAAACCCAACATTGTGTTGTTTTGAAAGTCTTTTATATTTTCTAACCAGGGATTGTTAGATCTTGCTCAATGGAAAACTCTTTTGCGTAGTTATATACCACTGACGCTTCTGCTTGAATGAAAGGTGGTGTAAATTAAGCTGTGTATTCTTTTAGGCTTTAATATTTTGTGGAGATATTGCAGCTTACATGCCAGTTTCTCTAACAAATGCAAATGTTTCCCAAGAAATGGTTTGAATGAGGTAACTGAAAGCTCATGTTTTGTAATATTCACAGTCACTTAAAAATGTACAGTTTGAATGTGGATGATTCACAGCTTACACTGTTTCAGCAGTTTTTCTAGGGGTGTTCTTGAACATTTCCTATTTTTCCTCTTTAACTTGGCATTTTCCCAGGTAGAATCCAAGGGTGTCTGCAGGATATGGCCAAAAAATGGTACAATCAAAGCTCTGCCTGTTTTTTATTGTCTTATGTTATTGTAGCCACCATCTTGACTTTTTTTGACACACTCTGCGGTTACTCCTGGCACAATAGATAAGAAAGAGAGAAAGGTTCCTAAGTCATGCCTTGCCTTTCCCAGACAAGAATCTCCTTGACCCACATTACTTAGAGAGAAAGCAGAGAAGGATCCCATTCAGACATTTGCTTAACAACAGATCTATCAGCCAGATCAAGTCAATAAATTTGAGTAACCTTAATTGGTTAACTTTTTACTTAGTAAAATCAGAGACCTCAAATTTCAAAATAATACCTCATTTTCTGAAGGACTTGTACCCTTCAATACTCCTTTCATTAAACCGGGCAGCTCTTTCTGGGAATAGTGCCGCAGAACAAAAAGTATGTTAATGTTTTAAAACAGTCAGCTTTTATAAATCTAATCATGATTCTAGATCTCTTTTGCCTAGCCTTCAGAAATGTTTTGAGTCAGGTTCAGCAGATATTTCTTCCTTTATTATTCAAAGATTACATTTATGTAGTCCAAAACAGCCTCTCTCCTTCATTTTCAGTACAGACCTTACAAGCATAAAATATCAGCACTCTTATTTATTGAAGGGTATTTATAAATTTTTGATCCAGCATTTTCACAGCTAAAACTGTTCCAAAGTGTGAAAAACTTTTAGAATAACATTTAAAAACCTTACAAATGTAAAAGCAGCTAAAGAATAAAAGCAAGGTAAAATCTACAGTGGTGGAAAGCTCCAAAAGGCAGGATCACCACTTTCAAAAAATAAAGGACTGAAAATCAGGGAGGGTAAAATTGCCTTCACGTGGTTTCAGAAAGAATAAGGTGGAGATGGCTGTTGCTTTCTGGAATTCCAGAGTTCAGATTATGAGCCCCCAAAATTGTTACAGCCACTGTTGTGCTTGATAACAGCCAGTGGTGGGTTTCTACCAGTTCGCCCCGGTTTGGGTGAACCGGTAGCAGCGGCGGAACACTCCGTCCACCCACCCGGACATCATCACGGACACTCTGTGAATGCACAGAAGGTTCTGTGAATGAGCAGAAGTGCCGCGCACTCACAGTTCCGAACCGGTAGCGAAGGTAAGTGAAAACCACTACTGATAACATCATCTCTACCAGCACTACCATCACCATCCTCATCTTCATCACTGCTACCGATATGCTGCTGCTGTTTCTGCAACAAAAAAAGGCTCTGGGTTACAAGCTAAAGGCCATCCATCCCACCACTTTATGCAACCAGGGTCCTAGGTGTCAAATGTAGCTCTTGCCAAAATAAGGTATCCTCGTACAAAATGTGAGTGAATAAATCTATCTGATTTGATCTCAGTTGGTTTCTCATATTGAAACTCTTCCATTCATTTTCTCCTATCTTAGTGTCTTTTCCCTTGACTTCAAAAAATACTCATGAACGTTCGCGTTTTCAAGCTTATTTCTACCATACGATTTTGTTTTGTACAAATTTAATTTAATGTTAATAGTTAGATTGATATCCAGCCTTTTCTCTCAAGTTGTCCTACATAGCATTGCCTCCCCCCTCTGTTTTCCTCAGATCAACAACCCTATGGAGGTGCTCAGAAAAAATAACTGTCCCACAGTTGCCCGATGAGATCCCATGGTTTGATCTGAGCCTCTTATGCCCAGGTCTGACACCTTAATCACTCTATCACACTGGATCTTGCATATAGCTCCGTTTTTTTCCAGTACTCTCTTTTTTATATGTACAGATAGTCTTCGACTTATGACCACAACTCAGCTCAAAATTTCTGTTGTTAAGTGAGACAGTTGTTAAGTTAGTTTTGCCCCATTGTACGACCTTTCTTGACACAGTTGTTAGGCAAATCGCTGCAGTTGTTAAATTAGTAGCAATAGCAATAGCACTTAGACTTGTATACTGCTTCACAGTGCTTTTACAGCCCTCTCTAAGCGGTTTACAGAGTCAGCCTATTGCCCCCAACAATCTGGCTCCTCATTTTACCCATCTCGGAAGGTTGGAAGGCTGAGTCAACAACTGTTAAATGAATCTGGCTTCCCCGTTGACTTTGCTTGACAAAAGGTTGCAAAAGGGGATCACATAACCCCAGGACACTGCAACCGTCATAAATATAAGTTAGTTGCCAAGCATCTGATTTTTGATCAGATAACCATGGGGATGCTGCAACGGTCGTAAGTGTGAAAAATGGTCATAAGTCACTTTTTGCAGTTCCGTTGTAACTTTGAACGGTCACTAAGCAAACTGTTGTAAGTTGAGGACTGCCTGTACTGGTTGAAGTCAGCAGTAAATGTCCTAAAATTCTTAGGATTTTCACACACACACAAAAGCCATATCTGGGTTTTGTCAATATTACATTTTTCATCTGCTCCAAAATGGGACCTCTAAGAAGATAAACAAAGATGTATTTATTTATTTACTTCTCATTTTAGGTCCCTGTCAAAGTTCCTGCAAGATTTCCAACAAAGGGGGGAAACCTGAGAATATTTGCAGCCCAGAAAGTTGTCCCTATTGCACAAAAACTTTGGCTAACAATCCAGAGCAGAAGGATCACGAGGCCGGAGACTCCGATAGCGATGCAGTATACGAATTCACCCAGGATGCTCACTACAGTGACCAGCGAGATCCTAAGCACCAGAAAGCTCGGGGAAGAAAAACACGGAAACTTCTAGCCTTCTGGAGGGTGGTTTGTGAGACATTTCGGAAGATTGTGGATAGCAAATACTTTGGCCGTGGCATCATGATTGCTATCTTGATCAATACCCTCAGCATGGGCATTGAATATCACGAGCAGGTAAGCAGAAGCTTATCTCTATTTTAGTCCTTTTGAATCGATTTTCCCTACAGCCAAAGAGCCCAAGAGTCGGACTTGTTAGCTCCATCTTGCTTCTGCTCTTAAGCCCCTGGAGTGAAAATGCATGCCTTTCAGCATCGATTAACGTTGACCCTTTGCTTTGTGCTTTGCACTGTATAGCTAGGTTAATTCTGCTTGTTATTAGATGAAACTGCAACGCATTTTAAGGGCAGCAACAGTGGCAGATCCTCAGCAAACTCCTCTTAGTGTGTTTTGACGAATTGGGAGAGCCGCATCTGAGCAGGGAACTCATTGGTTGGTTTGAAAATGAGTAAAGTACAGAGGCTTGAAACTTTATAGTTAACAAGGGGGGTTAGTTTGAATGTTGGTAGGTTGGCTGGAAGTTGGCAGATTGGCTGGAGTTTGGAGGTTGGCTGGCTCTATTGTTGGGATGGTGACAACAATGTTGGACAGCAGAAACTTGGGTGGGGTGTGGGGGGGAGAACCCAGTGGAACAGGGAACTACCCAGCCCACCCGTTACTCTCAGCTATAGTAGATGTCTTCTCCCACTGCCAAATGTTGTCAGGATGGCTTTAGGGTGTGGGAAAGGGGTGGGAGGCAATCTTAGTCCACCCCACCCCAGGCAGCAAAAAGGGATTGCTTTAATGGCTGATAGCTTAAAGTAACACAGCTGTAATCAATTGGTGGTTGAAGGCATCAGCCTTTGAGATGAAAATGAGAATTGCTAAGTACTACACCTTTTTGGACTTTGCAGTAACAATGAGAGTTCCATGAACTGATCAGTGCTGCAGAAATTATGTGAAATAATGTGGTGTTTGTTTCCAATAGCTACTTTATAAATAATTGTTTATGTTAAATCATTTGGTTTCTTAATAGCTATTTTATAAATCGAATAAGATGAAATCGGTACTGTACACTGTAGACAAACTGTACAATGAAATAAGTACTGTACATGGATGCTTTTTGCCAAACCTAATATCAACTTTTTCTTGCAATTGGGATATTGTTGTCACCTTTTACATAGACATGCTGGTTGCTCAGATCAGCCCTATTAAGGATGTAGGATCTGTACTTAGAGTATGTTTTTAAAAGAGTTAATGGGATTAAAAGAACATCACAGCAAGTCTAGTTTTAGCTGACCTTGGCAGAACACTTAGATCTGGCTAGGACTTGGATGGGAGAGCACCAGAAAATCCCAGGATTTTCAATATGGATTGAAAATTTGAAAAAAAAGAAAAAAAGATCCTGGAAGAAGGCTCTGGTCAGTTAATTCTCGATAAGATAAGACAAAATAACTTGGCATAATGTTTCAATTCTCGGGTCCTGTATCATTTCAGGTCCTGATGATGAGTCAGTTAAATCAAGTCTGACCTTCCCTTCTCTTCCCTTCCCTTCCCTCCCCTGCCTATTCTCCCTCCCCTCTCCTTCAAATGTCAAATTTATTGATTGTTCAGAGCCTGCCAATAATTATATTATATTTTGAGAGGCTAATGCAAAAGTGTATGTTTCTATTGGCCCCAGTATAGAAAATAAACAGAGGTCTATAAGACGACTAGAGATATTACCAAAATGGTAGCCTCTTCCAGTGGTGAAATCCACTTACTGTCACTACCGGTTTGGGAATGGGAGCACGCGGGAGCGCGAGCACGTTATGCACACCTCTTCTGCGCATGCGCAGAGGATCAAAAACAGGACATAATGATGTCCTGGCATGTGGGCGGAGTCTCCCCCCACCAGTGCTACCGGTTCACGCGTGCCAGATAGATCCGGCTGGATTTCATTGTTGGCCTCTTCCTAAAGAACTCCTGTGAGTATGTATCCCATCTGCTCAAACAACTCAGACGCAAGTAAGAAAGAGGTTTTAATCGTAGAACTGATTAACAACATGTTAATCAGAATGGCCATCTGGCCTCATACCACGATATGTGCTGGTGTCCTCACTTGACATGCTCAGAAGCATCTTCTGATCTGGGGCTGCCAACTACTGTACCCTGTTCACTGTTCACAGGAACAACTTGACAAGCCCCCAGATTCCCACGATTTTGTGAGGGAAGAACCTAAAGCATTTCAGATTTCAGTGAACAATAAGCAAGCGGCATTATACCTCACACTGAGGTTCAGACAATTCTGACTTGTAAAGAAACAAGATTGGTTGGGTTAGATATTGGTTGCAAACATGGGTGTTTACCTTTAGAAAGTATGTCATATATTTAAGCTAAACTAATCTAAGCAAGCAAGAGTGTCAATTTAGTGTAGAGATTAAGACATCAGGCTAGAAATTGGGAGACTGTGAATTCTAGTCCTGGCTTAGGCAAAATCCAGCTGGGTGATTTTGAGCCAGTTATTCTCTCTCAGCCCTAGGAAGAAGCAGGCAATGGCGAATCACTTCTGAAATCTTGCAGAGAAAACTGTAGGGACAGTAACGGCTAGTCTACCCCAACTCAAAAGCTCCCTCCACCAAAGCAAACAAAAATGTATGTAGATATATTTTGAATGTATCTGATTGGAAGGTCAATGTGGAGGTGGGTCTAACTTTTTTTGGGTTAATCATTTTTTCCCACTCAAAATCTCTCCTCTGTTTATCTTTCTTCTGTGGGGAGTAGAAGAGCAGTTTGAGGAAGGGGAGATTAAATAGGAAAAAGGCTGGTTGTGAAAAGGTTATGCAGTTTGCAACATGCTCTTCATAGCTAATACCCAAATTCACGTTTTGTTGGTACTGTATTGTCTCCATTAAAATACGACTATTGGAGCTTCTGCTTTTTAAACCACTCCCTGCTGTATAATTTCCAGATAATTTTCCAGCTATAAATCTCTAAGCACCTCACTGGGAACAAGAAACACTGAAAATGTCTAGACTACTTTGCATTGAGCATAAAGTATATATCTAGCGGTCTTTTCCAACCTGGTGCCCATCAGATATATTGGATGATACCACTCAGCACAAAGTGAAGCAGTTTAAGAAAGGCTGATGTATGGGACCAAACTAGCTTGAAAGCACCACTGTTGCTGCTTTTCTACCTTGGTTTTCTTTCTTTTTGCTGTTGAACACAAATCCTTTTCTTTTTTTTTTTTATTCAGCCCTTGGCAGCAGAATAGCAGCTGCAAATTCAATTCTGCAGCTGTTAATGCAGGTGACAATGTCATCCAAGTGTATTAATATAACAGCAACTATACATTATGGGATCAAGGCCATTTGTATGCTTGATGTGTCTCTTCGAACCGATGCGCTTCTGGAATCTAAACTCAAGACTGACCAGTTTTTGTTGTTTGTTATGACCTTAAATAGAATGGCGCTATTCAACTCATCCCAGTAGGATCTATGGCATGTTGTTTGACCGCTATTATGTTGCTCTTACTCAAAATATGCCTCCCAAAGAACAATGAACTGGGTGCTTTTGAAATTCAATACAATTCTAAGAGAAACACTAAGCAGATATTTTTTCCCTGAGAAACCAGGGGAAAATGAGGATACTTGAATTAAAGTTCACTTTTGACACCTTTGACCAGCTGAGGTGGCAATGTCATTTCTGCATACAGTATGCTAAATTTGAGATGTGCGGTTCCTTTGACTGCCTTTCCAATTATCCATCCTTCCTTGTTAAAAAGTCTTAAAAGGGAGGGACATACAAGGAGAGAATGTAGCAACCAACCTCCTTTTCTTAGACTGATCAGAAAATGTATATCCACATCCAAAGGCTTATCAATATACTTGGTTTCCTTGGGTCAAGAATAGGCAGTGGACTAGTCACTATGAATAACACTTGTAAACCTCTTTTCCCCTGTGGTTCATTTCTTCATGGATTCATGAAGTTTTGATTTTGAATCAATATTTTTAAGTATGCTTAATTCATGGGAAGAGTTTTCGATTTAGAAGATATTTCATTTACAAAGGGATATTTCCAGTTTGCTCATACAATATACTTTAGATGTGTTTTAAAGTATATTTTAAGATGAAAATAGCACCAAAATATTCAGGAACTTTTAAAAGTTGGTAGATAATTCAATTTGGATCTGCCAGGTAACCAGATCAGCACGAGATAAAGAGTTCAGATTGTAGCTCGTCTTCTCATTTCTCATTTCTCAAACCAGTTTTCTTTTTATCAACCAGTCACCATAGATGAGGCTAATTATTTTAAAATGTGAGATTATTACTTATGAGTCCTGGGATTCTATTAGGGAACAGGCAGGGTTGCGTAAAAGCTCTAAAACTATTCACAGTCATAGTGAATAATATATGAATGGCAATACAAGGTTAGTGAGGTAGTCCAGGAGATGTTTTGGTAATGTTCCAAGTCAAGGGAAGTCTAGTGATTTTTGTACCTCAGACTGAACGTAATTGTAACAATAAAAATAGAACAATACATTGAATAATAGACAGTTTCCTGGCATTTTACAGTATTGAGATATCTCTATCATTCTGGCTAATGGCCGGCCCACTCCTGATATTAATCTGTGTACCCTGAACATCTTGATAGCCAGACTAATCTCTTTTCCAACTTTCCTCCCTGAGAACAAAAAGGGAAATGTACATTTTTAAGAGACTCATTATATCCTCATGACAACCATCCATTAAATACTTTGGGAAATTTTGCCCATTATTTCTGAATATGTGTCACTAATGAGTCATTCTCATGAACATCATTGTTATAAAAAAATAAAATAAAATGAGGCAATCTCAGCACATTCGTTTTTTTAGGGAGATCTGCTATTTCTTCAAAAGAAGAAGCTGTCATAATTATTTAAGGCATCATATGAGCCCCTTAGCTTGCTTTCCATAATAATGAGCAATTGGAATTTTTGTTATTAATAGAACTCAGTGGACTATTCTCCCTATTAATTCAGGTGATGCCTTTTGTAAAAAAAAAAAAAATGCTGAGTTAACTTACTGAGAAATTTCAAGAAACCTGTTGGCAGAAGAGATATAAATGCTAAAAACCAAGTATATTGAACCATCATGCCCAGGTCTTCTCTGTGAAGAGTAATGCTGTTCTCCCTCTCACACACCATCTCGTAAAGAAAATCAGTCTCAATGCTATCCCAATGCTATCACTTTAGCCCTGCTAAACTGCCCTGCTTCCCTCAGAGACAAAGGATCGTGGCTCCACCAATTATTTTGAGTGGAGGGCTTCTTAACTGCTGAAAATCAATTGATCTGAAGACACAATTATCTCAACTACAGCTAAAATTGGCCTCTAAGAGCAGATGAAACATTGGAGAAGAGGAAGGGTTCCCATGTGGTAATGGAAAGAAAAGCAGCAAATAAACCAAGCTCTTCCAAATACATTTCAGATAAGCAAGCAAAGAAATAATTAGGACTGTGATGCAGTGGCCTGCTGTGGGGTTCCTGTATAGATGGCCAAGGGGGATTAAAAACAACAGTGAACTGATTTTAGGAGGGGAGTTGGAAAATACAAATGACAGGTCTAAAGAAGGCCGTGATGTGAGAAGGTGTACCATTGGTTTGATAAAAAACAAAGTAAATAAAGTCTGATTAACTGATAGCAATAGTAATAGAGACAGAGATAGAGATATTCATTTTGTAGGAACCTGAGCACTAGAAATGATTTTTAAAAATATCTAAATATATGTTGAAGAAAGTGATTTTTTGCTACAGTTAGAAGCAAGTGCTGGAAATTACACCTCCAATGCTCCTCGAAAAGAATGCAAATGACTAGCTGTCTGCAAGGAATATAAATCCTTCCATTCCCCACCATCCAATCAGAGCTGAAGAAGCTTCTTGGATGAGAAGTCAAATGTCTTCAAAGAAAAACAAGAAAGTCCAGTTGCCTCTTGAAAAGGCACCTTTGGGACAACCATGACCTGGATGACTGAGAATCTCAAAGTTATATATAAGTCAAGATGTATTCACATTTTCTCATGAAGGAGCATTAGTACCACACTGTTAAGTATATCCAGTCTACGCTGGTCCCAGACATGAAGTAGCCATAAATGAACAAGAGAGGACAACATTTGAATGTGGCAGAAGCTATGGATTGGCCTTCTCTGGGGAAGCATTGTAAGACAGTTATTGAAAATCTAAAAGACAAAGAAATTCAGTAGGAGAATTAATGGGGGGGAGGAAGACTACATACAATGAATCAGCCTCCCAAATGGTAGCTAATAGGTATGCTCTGTTTCTGAAGTTACAGGTGTAACCTTTCCAGCCCCTTTTTAAACTCATTTAAGAATTTCAAAATTTAATCCTTGGTGCATTGAAATGTAGAGGTCCTGAGCAGGTGACCATATGGACTTACAGTGAAGTTGTGACTAAGTATCGTTAAAACCTAATAACTCCAGCAGCATGAAAATACCAACACCTGTGCCATAGCTTGTAAAGAAACTATGCTTACAAAATAAATTGGAACCAAGAACATCAACAAGAAGATTCAAAAGAACATTTTATAGAGAAGAGCAGAATGTCCTTGTGGATAAAGTACTTCAAAGATGGGAAAGTTGATTATAATATCAGGATTTTTAGACTGTAGCAGGCCAGATATGAGAATTTACTGGGTCCTTTGATCTAATCACTTCCTCTGATTGGTTGCTTTATTTGGAGCTCGCATTTAGCTGGAGAAGGAAAGTTACTTTGTCTAAGAGGTAATGGGATAATTTATAAGGGAAAGCAAGAAATAGGAAAAAAATTCAGAAGTCACAAAGCTTTATTCTTTTACTTGTTAAGCAAATGACAATGGCTCTGCCCCCTTTTTTAAAAAAATAGCTGTTTTATGTTGCCGAATCTTTAGAAGGAATGGAAATTACATGGATATGGAGAGTTAACTCTTTTCAGTTCACTTTAGAGGCTCATCTGGTTACTGTATTGCTATCCATGGTAGATGCATATTTCTCTCAAACAGAAATAACTACAATTCAATCATTGAAAGACATACTGGTTTGGGTTTCTGTGCTAAGTGCAATGATGGTGGTATAAATATGGAATAAGGAGAGATTACTACCTGATCGGTCCTAACTCATGGGACTTGGATAGAGAACAGCTTAATGCACTTCATTGGATGTTGGAGGTTCAGAATGTTTTCCTTGTGTCTCCTGAGGATTTTCTTGTCATTTTGTCTTTTATCAAAGCCTTGTTTGAGTTCAAGGAAGATGTTACAGTATAGACCAGACAATGTGCCTTCATTGATCCTGCAAGCCAGCTTCTGCTGCATTGATAAATGCAGCCGAATAAATGATAAATGATTTTAATCATTTTAAATTGGTTTTTAAATTTAAAGTTTTTAAATTTTAAAATGATTTTAAATTGGGTTTTAAAGTGGTTTAATATGGTTTTAATTGGAAGTTTTAATTTTGGCCAAAGATTGAATTGTTTTAATATGTTTTTTTTAAATTTTGTCTTGTATGTTGTTTTATCATGGCTGTTCACCACTCTGAGTCCTTCGGGAGAAGGGCGGTATACAAATATAATAAAAACTTAAAAACTAAATTGAGGCAAACAAATTGTCTGGTTTTCAGAAGAACCAATGGAGTCAACAGAGTGGTAGCCAAAGCAAATGTGGTAGCCAAATACCAGAAGTAGCTGGTATTTAATGGAAGCCAAGAAGTCAATATGTTTGTATAGAAATATCCAAAATGCAGGGCTAAAACGTTAATTGACTAACACAGACACACACTTCCTGAACCTGACTATGCTAGATAAGTCTAATAATCTGTCTAATAATAATAGGTCAATCTTAGACAAAATATTGAAACAAGTAGTGGTATCTTTGCTCTAGGGGTTCCAGGCAGTGGTGGGTTTCAAAAAATTTTACCGGTTCTGTGGGCATGGCTTGGTGAGCATGGCAGGAGAAGGATAATGTAAAATCTCCATTCCCACCCCACTCCAGGGGAAGGTTACTGCAATATCCCCATTTCCTCCTGATCAGCTGGGACTTGGAAGGCAGAGAATAGATGGGGGTGGGGCCAGTCAGAATTTTTACTACTGGTTCTCCGAACTACTCAAAATTTCTGCTACGGGTTCTCCAGAACTGGTCAGAACCTGCTGAAACCCACCTCTGGTTCCAGGTCATCGGGAGTTGAATATGTAGGCAGAGGCACATGGGAGATCTTAGGCTGTAATTTCTGGGGAAATCTGTCTTGTCATGTGAGCAAATTGTAAATATCCTTGCTACAACACATTTATTTAAAGCAGATACCTTAACATTTCTATATTCACAATAACTCTGGAATACAGCTTTTCTGGAATAGCGTTGGGGATTAATTATAACTAGCAACACCATTCTCAACAAATGTTAGCTTATTATTTCTAATGTTTATATTGAAACTGGAGAATTAGGTCTGGGGTATTTTAATTGTTTGGTTGATCTTGTTTCATTTTTAAAAAATGTAAGTCTTCTAACATACCTACAGACAACTTGGGACAAATTCCATTAATAAAAAATAAATTCGCCAACCATTAGTTCATGTGGAACTGTGCTGTCATACAGGTCATTCCATAATTTAGGTTGGCGCTACTGTATATATCAGGATTTATATGTAATCATTCATAGGACATGAGATAACATAGGATTTATTTCTGCAAATTTGAATGCATATATACAATTTACAATTTTGTCCTTTCGTGAACCTTTATGAGGTTCACAAGGTATGGAGTAATTGGAGTAAATGACATATGAAGAGAACAAATCCCTCTATCCTTTAGCACTGATGATGTTGCCTAGTTAGGTAATGAAATGTCTACAAGAAAACAACCAAACTCAGAGACCCTTTCACACATATGAACACTCTTCCTCCAATGATAATTGTAGTCCCTACTTTGTGCATTTCTACAAGGAAGCCAAGACTGAATTGTTTCAAGAAGTCTTTGGTCCTTTAGTAGTCTAGAATGGGAGCATTCCTCCTCTATATTTAATACTGGGGTTTTAGGATTATGCATTTTTATTTTGTGTACGGTTGTGCATCTCCTAAAGTCCTCTGGTTACTGTGGCACATTGTATGAATTGTGAATAAATGAATAAGTTAACAAACTTATAGCAGGAGACCCAATTTTTAGTATGGAATTTTGTATGGATTTGAGGAAATTGGTTTTAATATAGGCCAACATTCTTCTGCAAATCGATCAAATATTTGGCATCGTTATTGCATCTTCCCTGTCTTCCAAACCGATGGTGGAGTTTATGTGAATTAAGTCAAATAGATAGATTAAGCTGCTACAGGAGAGAGGGAACATAGAATCCTCACAACATTTAATTTGTTTGTTGTGTAAACAGAGATTATTCTTATTAAAGATATGCTATTGGAGCCTAACAGAATTAAATCAGTGTTAATGTAGTAGCTGTGGTAATCATTGCCCATGATGTTGGCTGACTTTCAAAACCCCACTTCCTGTTTTGTTTTGGAAAATTAGTTTAATGAATACCAATCTAATGAGGACATGTCAGCAGCACGTTGCAAAAGCAGTTCATCCAGATTAATGATATTTGAAATTTAAGAGACATAAAGCATGCTTGTAACAGTAAAAGATCAGAGGGGATATCTGTATGGATGACACCAGATTAGAGGGCTTTTCCATTAAGGAAAAGTTGGAATTCATCCACTCAAGTTGGAAAGGAGAATATGTATTTGTAACAAAGAATCTGTGATACCAGTAGATGTGATATTAATGGAACAAAACCACAGCTATCAAAGATCTTGGAAAATGGGAATGAAAAATGTATATGTTATGTTATGGTGACATTTTTATCCAAAATATATTTTCTAACTTAGCCTTGTCAAGCTTTAGTTGAAATGACTATCTTCACATTTGGTGGATTTGGTGGATAAACATACAAAGTAAGTGTTTGTACAGAATAATATAACACACTTCTTGTTACAAATGGCCTGTGTATTGTCCTCTTTTTTGTTGTTCTTCCTCCTAGAATAGGGAAGGCAATCTCTGGCATTTTGGACTATAATTTCCATCTGCCCCAAGGGTCAGGTATTATGAAAATTATAATTCAAATCATCTGATGGCTTTCTCCTAAAAGACCAACAAAGAACCATTTCTGCAGCATAACTTCTGAACCAAGCATTCCAGCTTGATGGCTGTTTCACAAGTCATGGCTTCTTCTTGGCTTATTATCCTTGCTTGTGGTTCGTAATTTATTTTGGCTCGGAGCCTTGTATTTCCAGTTCCAATCACCTGCAAAACAAAATATTGGACATATATCTGCTTTTCCAAATTCTTACTCCCACATTTAAGAGATATGTTGCATAAAATTAGCCTCCCTTGGCCTCATAGCTACTTGTGTTGTTACCTCTCATAGATGGATTGGCAGTTTGAGAGGCTGGTGGTCTAATTCTCTCTTGCAAGCAATTTGTCCTGTCTTCTCTTCCCCGCTGTCTGTCATTCCACATTTTCTATTTTGTTCAACAGTTCCCTGTTGGTCTTCTCTAGATAGAAAAAGCACCACGAAACGGATCTTTAAAAGTCCATAATAAGTGCACTTCATAGTTATCTTGATGACTGTAGACATTTCTTGCACTGAAATCAGTCAGCATTTAGAGTAGCTTTATAAACATAAGAAGTTCTGTTTCACCAGAATTCACCGAGGATGGCTACGCTGAAAGGGAAAATGGGGGGGGAGGAATCCTATTTCATCTCAGATATATTTACAACTAATGAGGATATAAATCTAATATAGTTTAGATTAACTAGACCCAGATGGCATTAAAGATCAAATGACCAAATGGAAATGTACCTTTTTGTTCATCTTAAGCGATTTCCAGATCTAGGAAGAGAAAAAGGAATGACGGGTGGGAGCTGGTGGTGCAGTTTTGTTATTATTTTGCTAGGATATTATTTTCCCTGACATTGTGAGGAAAGCTCAGGAACTGAAGCTCTTAAATCCCTGCTGCTGCTTTCAAGAGCGGCTGTGATGCAGAATGGCACAGCCCTGGAGAGACAGAACATGTCATCTGCCTTTTAGCAATGGAAATGCCTGCAGTACTTGTGCATATTTATCAATTTATTGTGGCCACAGTTTAAAAAACAAAACATAACAGGAACTGGACTGATTTTTACTCTGTTTCAGCAGCATGAGAAGCACACAGATAAGCAGTTACCTGAGCTGACATGCTTAACCCAGGAAGACAATTAGATGCCATAGGCGTAAATGAAACTTGAAACAAGATTGAAGCACGACCCTGTAAAATATAACAGAACAGACACATTCAAAAGGGAGGAGTGTGAAACTGTACCAAAAAAAAGGATGTGCCTGCACAAAAATTCATGAATTGGAACATGGAAGATCTGTTGAGAGTGTTTGGCTAAAAATAAAATAGAATGAAACAAAAATAACTGATAGGCATTTACTATAAACCACCAGGACAGGCAAAAGAGATAGATGAGGGTCTTCTGTTTCAGAGGACCAAACTTTCAAAGAAACACACAATTGTAACAGTGGGAGATTTTAGTACCCTGATGGAAATGGAACTCACCATACCTTTTCTTGTGACAACTTCATTAATCTGAACATAGAAGAAGGATTAGGCTTGAGTGGTGGGGTGGGGGTTGTCTGCTGTCCCAGACTTAATCCTTTCCAAGAGAGAAGGCTTGGTTGAAGAAGCAAAAGTGACTGGTACACAGTTGTCCTTTCTGATGTCAAAGGGTAGAGTAGAGAATATCACATATCACATTTCTATATTGGTTTTTGGAAAGAAGTGGTAGTGGTGGGGGATTGGATGAACTCAGATGGAAGATAGAGAAGGTCTAATGGCTTAAAATCATGAAGGGAAAAACAAAAACTCTGGGAGGGATCCTAAAAAATAAAATACTGAAGGCATGGAAACACCCATGGACAGGTGGCAAAAAGTCAAGATGGTGAGGATGATTGCAAAAATCAAAGCCCCTATCCCTTTATACACTGAGGATGTTGCATACGAAGAGGTGGGACTTTGTACAATCATGGCTGCCACCTTGACCTCTTGCCCCCGCCCCTCTGCCCTGCCACCAGACACCCCTATATACCCTAACTGCAAACAATTCCTACTCAAAGGAAAAGTGAGAAGCATCTGAAGAGATCAATGTGGAAATGGACCGAAATTGCTTAGATACTGAAAAGAAAAGGAGGTGTGCATATAGGAGATCAAAGGAGGTGTGTATAACCAAAGAAGGATATCAGACAATTGTCAGGATTTTTCAGGATTGCACCAGAAAGGTTAAAGCTCATGCTAAACCTGAGGTTTTCAACAAATGCCCAAAAGAACAACCAAAATCTTTTTATAGAAACATCAGAAGCCAAAGCACAGCAGCTATAATTCTGTTGCAAAGGAAAAGGAGTGAATTAGTAATGGCTGACGGGTGAAAAGACAGAAGCTCTTAAATTATATTTCTGTTGTAACCAGTAGTGGAAAGACTGAACAAAGAGAGAGTAAAAGAGCACATAGGTCATTTAAATGAATTTACCCCCAGGGCCAAATAAATTACACCCTAGTCTACTGAAGGAACTATCAGAGGTGATTGCAAAACCCAATAAGAACTTCTGGAGAAGCTGTGTGGTCTCAGAAGACTACAGGAGAGCAAATGTTGTCCCTGTCTTCAAAACAGGAAGGAGGACCTAGATGCTGTGTATACTGGGAAAAGTCCTCAAGATTATTAAACTGAATGGAACAACACTTCCCTATTCAGGATATTGAATTAGGGGGTGAAGTGGGGGTGTTGAATTAGGGAGTGTTCTTGGACTCAAAGCACTTGCTTCAAAAGCAGGTGGCAATTATGGCCAGAATGACCATCGTACCAATTGCATCTGTTTCTAGATACTGGAGAGTCAGTCACTCATGCTTCTGAAACCTTACATATAACTACTGCAATGCACTCTATACAGAGCTGCCCTTGGAGACTACGTAGTAGATGCAAATGGTCTAGAATGCAGTGGCAACAGCAGTTATGGGCATGCCATAGTATGGCCATAAAACACTTCTTTTTCATGATCTGTATTTGTGATCTAAATGTCAGGTAGCAATACAGTAAATCTTTATTATATTGCATGCTAAAGCTCTCTACATGAATCTGAACTATTAACGGTCAAAGCAAATTGGCAGTAAGTTGAAAGTGGGCTGGATTTAGATCTCTTATGGGCATGAAAGGACTCCAAAATGATGATGCTCTTGACCCTTCCCTTGGGCTCAGCCTGGTCATCTCCAACAAATATATTTACTGGTGCTGGTTCTTACCTGTAAAGTCTTTCGTGCCTGGTTATCTGAGGGACCATCTGTCTTCCATCGTTTTTGCCCATTCTGTACAATCAACCACAGTTGGCATGCTTTTAGACCAGCACAGAGACTCCTTGTGTGGTTTTACTTGCTTAATGTTATGATGAACAGTTAAAGAACTGGGTATGTTGGTCTTCTGAAGAAAGATTGGTATGAGAACAGCCTCCAGATATGTTAAAGGTTATCATCTAAAAGAGGAAGAGGGGTTGTTCTTTGTGTCCCTAGAAGGCAGGACCAGGACTAGTGGGCTGGAAACTACAAGAAAGTGGGTATTAAGAATAATTTTTTGATGGTTAGGTCTCTCAACCAATGGATTAAGTTGCCTCATGTTCCCCTTCACTATGTATTTTGAGGCTGCATAGTCCACTGTTTGAAATGCTTTAGCAGATATTGCATTGTGTATTTGATATTTATCTCCAACCCTGGAAAATTAAATGATGCCATGGACGTATTATCCCAGTGTTCAGAAGGGATGAGAGTCTGAATGGGGAACAACAGCTGAATTCTGGCAAGACTGAGTGGGTCTGGATTTTGGGGACCACCGATTCCAGGACAATACCATCTTTGGAGCTGTATGAAGTTGTACAGCCCCAGACAGACCCAGTGTGAAATCTGTAGATCCTCCTAAATTTCACAGTTGGCACTCATGGCGAGGAGGACCTTTACCTGTTGTACACCTGTTCCTGGATCACATTGTACCTGTTCCTGGATCAGCAGGCCATGTTTGCAGTCATTTATGTCCTAATCACCTTCACACTGGACTATTGCAATGTGCTCTACATGGGACTGCCCTTGAAGAGTATCTGGAAGCTTCAGCTAATACAGAATGCAGCGTCTTGGCCAATGATGTATGCTCCTGGAACGGTGCATGTTATACTTCTGCTGTCAGGTTTCGAGGTCGTCTCAAATAAATTGCATTTCAAACAAAGTCTTTGAAGAAAAACTCCTATTTATTAAACACGATGTTCTAGATCTGACTCTATAGAAGCCAACACTGACTTCCAGACCCAAAACCCTCCCTTTCCGTTCCCCACTCCCCTGCACTCATTGGCCATCTTCCAAGTCATTCTACCCCTAATCTACTGCTCCAACTCAACGGAATTTCCCCCTCCCATCCCATCTCCTAGGGGATATTATCTCCAGGGAAAATAAGTAGGTGAAAAGTCAAACGTCCCTTTCCAGACGCCTCCCTTCTCCTTCTTATGTCAGCACTAGAGTAAATGCAGTTTGAAGTGCTGACGCTGCTCTGTGAGCTGCACTGGTTGACAGCTGATGTTCAAAATGGATGGGATGGAGCATACAGGGAAACCTGTGATAGGGACATGAAATTTATGTGTCTTGGCTATGACTTTTCTAAAAAAAAATGGTAAAGAAATTAGTCAATTTTGCAAAGGAGAAAAATAGGCATATTTTAAAAATAAGCTGAAATGGCAGATGTATGAAGCACAACTCTTTATCGACACTAGCTGTTGTTAACACAACTCGCTGGTAGTGAGTGACATGAGCTTAAGATTTTCTTTTTCTTTCCCATCTGCTCAAGAAGAAACTTGATGGCCCAGTTTAAATGTGGTTGCATCCTCTGGGGACTTTAAGAGGAGATATCCAGAGCCTAGCTTGGAAATATTTTATTTCACATAGAGCGGATTATTGTCAAAATATATTGTGTCATTTTCAGAGATTGCATTCTTTAAAAAAGGGTTGAAAAATGAAAGAAATCAGAGGGATCAGTACCAGAGAAAGAAAGAAAATGAAAGAAAAGACTCTGCTGGAAAACATACCAAATGCATGAATAATTATGTTTTTTTTTAGAATGGCATCTATACACAACTAAAACTCTCGTGTCTGTAACCTTTACCTGGGAAAAATGATGATTATAGGGCAACCATTTTTGAGCCAGGGTATTTCAAATGGGCTAATTTACAAAATGTGTCCAAAATTCCGAACCCATAACACCATGGGATTGAAATTTGACAAATGGAGGTTGCTTCAGTGCTGCCACCCTGCCATGCCACCACCTGGAGGTTCAGTCAACCAGTCCTCCCCTAGCCCTCCAGAGACTGGAGAGACCGGCTCCTTCTTCAACCACTGGAGATCAGTCAGACCAGTGGTTCTCAACATGGGGCCCACGCCCCACAGGGGGGCAGTTTGATTTTTAATGGGGGCAATTTGAATCTTGTTTAAACCAAGTTAATGGCCTTTTAGGTTTCCTCCACGTCTGTAGAATTCACTTTTTGAGTAAAGTAAGAATTATATGTCATGGTGGGGGAGGGCATCAGGATTTTAGAGATGCTTAGGTGGGGCATGGCCAAAAAAAGGTTGGGAATCACTGAGTTAGACTGATTCTATTCTAGCCCTCCAGACACTGGGTTCCATCAGCAGCTGCCAAAGGGCAGTCATCCATGGTCAAACCTATAGAAAGTTGGAAGCCGCTCCCACTCCCATTGCTTTTTTGCTCTTGGTGATTCTGTTTCTGTGTTTAGGTAAGGAAACATCTCTGAAATGACGACCCAATGGGTCATAGGTTGTCTACAGTCATGGGTTGCTACCAGTTCTCCCCGGTTCGGGACAGCGATAGTGAAAATCTTGACGTGGTTTGCTCCGACCATCAGCTGGGCCCTCCCCCCCGCCCCCCGCTATACCTACCTTTATTCCTTTGTTTTTAGCCCAGCTGTAAGGCACGGCAGAGCGTATTGCCATGCCTCAGCTCTTTCGAAATTCAATGCATGTGCCCGAAGCGAACCGATGATAACACAGGTTAGAACCCACCACTGGTTGTCTAGTCTTTAACTGGTTCTGTTAAAAGGAAAAACAGATATTTGGGCTATAGCAACATGAAAGGCAAGTTACTTTCATGTTCATGTTACCAGTAGATTGTATAGAGAAATTATACAATTATA